AACTGTGGTTGGTATTAGAAGACCTGCATTCCATTCCTGGCCCTCAAGCATCCTCTCAGTTTCAGGCCCTCAAGTCCCAGTTTCTCCATATGCAAAATGGACAGAATGCATTCCATCTTTGCAGAGTTACTATGAGGATTAAATAAAATGATATAAAATATAAAGGACCCAGTGTGACGTCTGGCACACAGCATGTACTTAAGAAATAGTAACTGCTGGCCAGGTGCAATGGCTCACGCCTGTAATCTCAACACTTTGGGAGGCCAAGGTGGGCAGATTACCTGAGGTCAGGAGTTCAAGACCAGCCTGGCTAACATGGTGAAAACCCGTCTCTACTAAAAAAAAAAAAAAATTAGCTGGGCGTGGTGGTGGGCACCTGTAATCCCAGATACTCAGGAGGCTGAAGCAGGAGAATTGTTTGCATCTGGGAGGCGGAGGGGCAGGGAGCCGAGAATGCACCACTGTACTCCAGCCTGGGCGATAAAGCAAGAATCGACTCTCTCAAAAAAAGAAAAAGAAATAGTAGGTGCTTTTTACTGGTAAGGAGGACAAAACGCCCTGTTCTCTGGAGCTCACCAAGGCTTGCAGTGAGGTCAGCAGATGAGCTACAGAGAATGAATCCTCAGGAAACACATGTGTGTAGACCTAGTGCTTGGTGCTATGAGGGAAGGCAAATGTTATTGCTTTGACCTTTTAGCTTAAATCAGATTTTTGTGGAAACCTATCGAAGCCTCTCTGAATAAGATGTACATAACCGTTGTGGCCCAGGAGCGCTTAGAGGTGCCAGTAGGAACCAGCTGTGGTTCCTGTTGCACATTAAAAATGGATATAGGTTTACTTTCTATCTTCCTAGACATATTAAGGGAATGAGCTATTGTTAAGATAAGATTCCAATGCAAAGTTTCGAGCCTTATCAATGGAGGCGCACATGCGAGATTATAAAACTCTGGTTTCTGCAGTGGTCTCCAGACAAGTTCCCAGGGACTAAAACCACGTCTACCAATCCCTTCCTCTGCAATCGAGATTCCCTAAATCCTCTGAAAAGCAAGAGTAAATTCAAAAGTCATTGGCAGTAAAGCTGACCTGAGCTGACAGGGGAGCAATGTGGCCTTCATTATCCCTCTTAGCAGGAAAATCCACGTGTCTTGCAGGAAACATGAATTTGTCTCATTTCAGTGCAGTCCCAGACTCAGGGGGTACATGTCACATATTGACATAAATGCACAAAATTACCTTATTACTTTCTAAAATTTGGAAGAAAAAAAAACCTTTAGGGCTGGGCACTATGGCTCACGCCTGTCAATCCCAGCACTTTGAGACCGGAGGCAGGTGGAGCACCTGAAGTTTGGGGATGGTTTGAGACCAGCGCTGACCAACAGGAGAGAACCCCTCTCAGCTAAAAACACAAAATTAGCCAGGCATGGGTGGCACATGCCTGTAATCCCAGTAACTCGGGAGGCTGAGGCAGGAGAATTGCTTGAACCCGGGAGGTGGAGGTTGCAGTGAACCGAGATTGCACCACTGCACTCCAGCGTGGGCATACAAGAGTGATAAACTCCATTCAAAAAAAACCAAACAAACTCTTAATTCACATCTGACCCAAAGGTTTTGACTCGAGGGATTATGGATCTATATTTTCAACCAGTGTTTGCCTCATACTTAGATGCCTAAGAATGATCTGGAAATCTTGTCAAATGAGATTCTAAAGCCCTCTACAGAATTTCTGATTCAGTCAGTACAAATCAGAACTAGAGTAGCGGCCTAACATTTCTGTATATTCTTAACAATCTCCCAGTGATGCTGCTGGTCCAGGGACCACACTTTGAGTAGCAAGAGTTTAGGCAGAGTCCAATTCGCACCAGGAGCCTGTCAGGCTGCCTCAGCAGCGATAGCCAGCCTGAACGTTGCTACGCTCCTGATTTGTGCTGGGACACGACAGTTGGGCTGGGATCTGAATCCCCCACAGGCTGTTCTGTAAGAGATTCTGCTGGGTAGTAGAAAATATGGAAGTTTAGTCAGAGTCTTTAGTTGTTAACAGACGGAAACTTTTTCCAGTCTCCACTCTGGATATTTGGTTAACACCATGTACCCAACTCACAAATGCTTTAAGAAGTTACAAAGGTGTATTTATTTGTAACAGTAAACATAAACCCCAACCAGAAGTCAGACATATTTGACCTGTAGCTTCTGCCAGCAGCAAATGAATTTTAAGACTATGGCTGTAAGCGTTTTAACATTGGGAGAGTTCACACCAAAGCCCAGATTTCTAGATCGCCTTAGAAAACAAACAGAACAGTTAGCAATCCTGGGAGCACATTTCCAGCTTATTTATTTGTGAAGTGAGAATATTCTCAAGTTGTTTAAGATGCTAAGAAAGTGTGTCTGGGTGGCAAGGTTCAATACCATGCCGAGTTTACTCACTTGTCCGACCTGACTGGTGCCTCACACATCTGAGTGTGCAACCCCTGACCTGGAGGCTGACAGCCTTGCTTAAGGGGGATAAATGATTAAACCCTTCTAAAGGGACTAGGAGTCCTGGTTTCCTGGTGTCTGGTTGCAGTTGTTACCTACCGCTCAGGCAGAGGAGGCCTGGAGCAGGATGAGATCAGAAAAAAAATGCAGATGGAAGTCAAGAGATGTGGACCCCTGCTGTGTATAAATCTGTGCAAAGTCACAAGACTCCAAACCTCAGTTTCCTTATCTATAAAATGGGGACATACCTTATGATAATAAATTCTGATAATGCAAATCAAAGCATTTTAAAACTAGGGGTGCCGGAAGAAGGCATGTTAATATTCTTTTTAAAATCCCATTAAAGGCAATATTTTTAAATTTTTAATGTAATAAATCAGTGAAGGAGTTTTAGGCTTGGAGAAGAGAAAGACTATATATGATCTAGACAAGAGGTCCATAAACTATGGCTTGTGGGTCAAATCTGGCCCACCACTAGTTTTGTTTTGTTTTTTTGAGACAGAGTCTCATTCTGTCACCCAAACTGGAGTAGTGGTGTGATCTCAGCTCATTACAACCTCCGCCTCCTGGGTTCAAGAGATTCTCCTGCCTCACCCTCCCGAGTAGCTGGGATTACAGGTATGCGTCACCACACCAGGATAATTTTTGTATTTATGGTAGAGACAGGATTTTGCCACGTTGGCCAGGCTGGTCTCAAACCCCTGACCTCAGGTGTCTACCCAAAATGCTAAGATTACAGGTGTGAGCTACCGTGCCCAGCCACCATCAGTTTTTATAAATAAAGTTTTACCTGAACACAGCCATGCTCATTCATTTACAAATTGCCTATGGCTTCTCTCAATGCTGCAGGCAGAGTTGAGTGGCTGGGCCATGGGAGTATAGCCCAAGACGACTACAATACTTACTATCTGTTCCTTTACAAAGACAGCATGCCAACTGCTGATCTAGATAACATACTAGAAATTGAGACTCAGGCAAAAGGGGAAACAAGGGTACTGTCCATTCCTCCATCCCAACAATTTGCTCCCCTACTACACTGTCCAAGTTCCTCTTCTTTCAAGTTCACAGGCACTTTCTTCAAGACCCCCCCTAGAACACAACTTTCTCCAAAATGGCATTCCTTAAATTCCAACCAACTTTGATTATTCCCTCATCCTGTGCTTCTGTAGTTACTATTATTTCAAAGTGCTAACTGTTTTTGAATCCAGCATCTAAACGAGTCTTTCCCTCCGGATGCCCACCTGAGGCAGCAAAACACCAGTTCTGACAAGGCTGCTTCCCCCACCCTAGACAGTGATTAAGCACCTTGTTTGGAATTACTTTTCAAACTTGCAACGCTTTCTCGAAAACCTTAATAAAGAGTCCTTACTTTTGGATTTGGGGAAATGGTCAAGAGTCAGTCAAACTGCTTTATGAAATAAAATAAGACTTGTTTTCCTGGGGGACTTAGCAACACAGAAAGAACAAAGCCAGGTGCATTCTGAACAATGATAGTGTTGTCTGAAAGTCTGCCAACTTAACTTAGTTTATAACTACAAATAGACTATATTTCAAATTTGGTTCATAAATCAGTTATTTCGAATTAAATATTTTTTCTCACATATTGGTTGAAAACAGACAAAAAATAGTATCACTGGAGAGCTCTGTTTTATACATAAACACATGTGGTACCACTGGAATTTCTTTTGTAAATCATTTAGCTACTTTGAATTTCCCAACCAGATTGTCAATGCTCTTAAGGCAAGGGGAACCCACCTTCCATCTCTGTGAATCCACTTAGGATGTGTGTGTTCGATCTCCAGGATGAAGCTAAATGTCCCTTCCTCTCTGAAGAGTTCCCAGTCATCCTAAGCTGAGGTGGCAGCCTCCATCACACTTTCTACACAGCCCCACTGCAGTGTGTGCCACAGGGTTTCGTATCTTCTCATTTTCTTACTTATTTCCCCTGGACCGCATGTTCACCATCCTGCATCCAGCATGGTGCCAGAGCCAGGATGAGAATCCAGTCATTCCTGACAATTCTCTTTGTCAAATATAGAAGAACACTTATGTGTTCTAATTTCAATTTTCATTTGCATGCTAACTCCATACACAATGTGCTCCAGCATCAAAGAGCTGTGATGTACAAAGGGTTAAGGCCACAGCCCCAGGAGAGGTTTGTAGGAAGCATGACCTGCAGAGGTTGGCGCCGTGACATATTTATTTCCAGGTGACATTGTTCACAGGGAAATAATAAAATGAGAGTCTACATGACAGAACCTGGCTTTTCTTGATTCAGTCTTCTGAGAATTGGTTTGCAATTCTGCCTGAAAGGAATTTCTGGACCTTCTGATGTGCCCAGTTTCACACCCAGCTGTAAGCCACTTGAGAGGCACTTAGAGGATGTTGAGATTGTCTGCTGTGTCGGGTTCTCCATGGTATGGCCCACCATTTTTGGGCAGAGAGACAGTCTTGGATCGACTAGTGGAGGACTAATGCCATCCTACCGAGCAGGCACTGGACAAGACCACCACCCACGGCTTCCTTACCACTGTTGTCCAGGGCACCTGGGGAATCCTGGTGTAGGTCATTGTTATGTAGACAATGAGGAAGAAGACGGTGAGGACCCAGTAAAATACAGCTACAAACATGACCCAGCCAAATGCGGGGACCCGGAAGTACTCAGTTCCAGCGATAAGCGTCCATACCAGCAGCCCCAGAACCTGTAAAGTGGTAGAAGCAGTGGAGAGAGGAAGGGAAAGTAGAAGATAAAGAAAAAGAAGGAAGTAGGGACAAAGAAAAAAAAAATTATACAGAATGTCAATTACAACTTATTTATTTACTGATGTATTTGAGATGGAGTCTTGCTTCCGTCACCCAGGCTGGAGTGCAGTGGTACGATCTCGGCTCACTGCAACCTCTACCTCCCGGGTTCAAGGGGTTCTCCTTCCTTAGCCTCCCGAGTAGCTGGGATTACAGGCGTGCAGAACCATGCCCAGCTAAGTCAATTACAACTTTCATGCATATACCCCCACCTTCTCCTGCCGTGACTTAAAAATATTACAGGGTTTGCAAACTCATGTGCCTACAAATGCCAGGAAGGTAACCATGGCAGTCCAGGCAGGGATCAATAATGTCTTGTTTTAGGGGGTTCTCTTAAAATTCAGCCCTAGCTGATAGTTGTGGGCTGGTTTTGCCAGGTCTTCTCCACCCCAGGAGAACACAGAAACTCAAGCTTGTACATAATAATCTCGATTTTAAATATTAGCACTAATCAGGGGTTTTAAAACACCACTTGGTGAAAAACAACATCCAAGGCTGGAATTTGCTCCCAGGCTGATACGTGCCAAGGAAACAAGACTGCAGGTGCACTTGGAGGTGGTCCCTGGAGCTGATCTGCTTTCAAGGGACGAACCTCTGGGCATTCCCTGCTGTTCTCACAGATGGCCAGTAACATGTGGTCTGAGACAGCTTTCAGAAGAGAGAATGAGCAACAGCCCAGTCCAGATGTAGACACTCAGTATTTTACCACACGTTGTGCATTTACCCCAGCAATAGTCATCCAACTGCTGATGAGGAAGACCATACCCAAACAAATTAACACCACTCACTGACTAAAGGAAGGCTTCATCAAGGAAAAGGAAACTGACCTAAACTGTAGGTGTCTTAAGTCCTGGACAAAGGAAGGCTAGAGCAAGGTAGGCACTCACATTCTAGCACCTTCCAAGTGGACTTTATTCCTAAGTCCCAAAAAGTTGAGATGTGAACCACATGCCCAGGACACAGTAACACGAGTCCAGGGTGGGTTCTAGCCCTGCAAGTCCTGGCTTGCTGTGTGTGACTCAGGACAAAGAATTTCATTTCTGGTTTAGCTTTCTTTGTGGTATATGAAACAAAATACTAAAGTAACTCTAATCACCAGGCTTGGAAGACAGATTTCCTTTATTTGTTTAACACAGGAGCACCTACAATATCTGGGCTTCCTGCTGTCAGGCTCCAAGGACAGTGGTATACAAATTGTACAGATCCTGCTTGTAGAGAACTAAAGTCTAGTGGAGGGAAATACCTGACAGATTACAACTGTGGCAAATGTTATGAAGAAGGTAAAGGGTATGATAAGGGTCTGTGATGGGGGAAATGACCTTGCTGGCAGGCACAGGAAGCATCGGAGAAGTCCAGGCTGAAGAATAACCTGAAGGCTGAAAGCACTGGCGAGACAGAAGCGGGAAGGCAACGTTATAGGCAGAGGGCACAGTGTTGGCAAAGGTCTGAAGGTGGGAAGGGCTCTGCTACCTTCTAGAACCTATAAGAACAAGTAGTAAGTTAGGATATTGGTGCAAAATGTTAGAGACCTGGGGAAGGTGAGATGATATGAGCCCAGGAGGCCTAGAGATTTTGTGCTTTATCCAAAGGGCAGTGGGAGAGTTTTAAGCAAGAGAATGTTAAGATTAGGCTAGATTTTTTTATAAAGCCACTCTGGCTGCAGGTAGAGAATGGACATGTGGAGGGGAAAGGGGGAGCAGTGGTGTGGAGACAAATTCAGAAAGCGTGCAATAATCCAAGCAGGAAGAATATGAAGTCTTTAAGACCAATATGGTGGCAGTGAATATCGAGAAGTGAGTGAATTCATGACAAATTTCAGCAGATGGGACTTTAATGGATTAGATATGGGGTTGGGGGAGGAGAAGGGAGAGGATACAATGGAATGATCCCTAGGTCTCTAGAAAGATTTCTGGAGTAGATCAGGGTTTGACTTGTTCTGTTGGAACAGTGGAAGAGGAACAGGTTAAGGGAGTGTTGTTCATGAGTTAAATTTTCAAACTACTCAGTCTGAGGTAGTTGGGGACCTTCAAACAGGGATTAGAAGAAGTGGATGTTGAAGAGAGAAGACTTCAGGCCATTCTTTAAGAAGGAAGACTTTCTGTGAAGATCTTGAAGCCATCAGACAGGTTTCCAAGGGACATGTTAAACCGCTTCCCAAGAGAAGCCACTTTCCCGGTACAGTTTGGGTGCCTGTGCCGGGGAGCAGCTAAGACTCTAAATGTTGCTGTTTCTGCTCTTTAGATTTGAGCATCAACATTCTTTTATCTGCTTGATATTAGTATATGAATTCCAGAGACAAGATGCTTAATGGAGATGTGCTTTTGTGTTTACATCTGTGGCAACAACACTTATTGAAAGTAAGACACACAGAATGGGATATAATTCCAGAAAGCGCTAAGCCTCACACTAATGAGGTTTTTGGCCCAAATTGATTCTGACAGGTAATCTATACAATGTGTTTGACATTCTGTTGGATCAGTAAGACTGGTAATAGATGTAATCCGGCATGGCACCGTCTGAAACATTTCAGGCTTCTTGATTGAGATGGGGTCAGAACGGCCCTTTGTGGATGATTCACATAGGAAACATAACAGTGAGTGAAGAGGCACTGTAGATGTGTTGATAGTATCTCTCTGTGTGATCACAAGGGCTTAAGAGTTTCCATCACAAGTCTGTATCCAGCTAAACAGGCTCAACTCACAGCTCTTGGCTCTGAATGCAAAAACGTTTTTCATTATTAACACAAGTGAAGCCTGCTGTCCCGGGCTGCATTGTCTAGTTTGCTGGCTGTGGTCATCTTTTACACAAAGGCACAATATTGTTAACTGAGCCATCTTTCAAAGAACAGGAATACTTAACACATGACCTCACAAGCAAACAAAGTAAAAAGAATGTCTCTGTCAAGAAAAGAATTGTTCTACCCAAGTGAATTTCCTAGGTGACTGAAATATATCAAGAAGAAAACCTTTTATCTCCACCATAGCCAATATACTGATAAAAACCACTCTTCAAAAATGTTACTCATCTTCTGCTATAAGATAAACCTAAATCTTTATTTGCTTAGACTACAAAAATACTGTTTGTTTTTGTTTTCTCTGATAAGCATTATAAGCATTTTTTTTTTTTTAGGCTAAGACTTTTTTTTTTTTTTAAATGGCAAAACTAACCTTTCAAAGTGATAAACGCAGGTAAAAAATTAACACAGGGCCAAGCACGGTGGCTCACGCTTGTAAATCCCAGCACTTTGGGAGACTGAGGCGGGCAGATCACAAGGTCAAGAGATTGAAACCATCCTGGCCAACATGGTAAAACCCTGTCTCTGCTAAAAATACAAAAATTAGCTGGGCGTGGTGGTGCATGCCTGTAGTCCCAGCTACTCAGGAGGCTGAGGCAGGAGAATCGCTTGAACCCAGGAGGCAGAGTTTGCAGTGAGCCGAGATTGCGCCACTGCACTCCAGCCTGGGTGACAGAGGGAGACTCCATCTCAAAAATAAATAAAATAAAATAAAATAAAATAAAATAAAATAAAATAAAATAAAATAAAATGAAATAAAAAACACAGAAGTAGGCCGGGCGCAGTGGCTCATGCCTGTAATCCCGGCACTTTGGGAGGCTGAGGCAGGCGGATCACGAGGTCAATAGATCAAGACCATCCTGGTTAACACGGTGAAACCCCGTCTCTACTAAAAATACAAAAAATTAGCCGGGCGTGGTGGCGGGCGCCTGTAGTCCCAGCTACTTGGGAGGCTGAGGCAGGAGAATGGCATGAACCCGGGAGGCGGAGCTTGCAGTGAGCAGAGATTGTTCCACTGTACTCCAGCCTGGGCGACAGAGCGAGATTCCGTCTCAAAAAAAAAAAAAAAACAACACAGAAGTATATAAAGAAATGACAACCCCATCCCTATCCACCAGTTATAAAAATTCAAGAAAAACCAACATAAACAATTTTGTATTTACCCTTTCTAGCCTCTTTCCTAGCATTTATAACCATTGCCTGCACATCTTTCTTTTTCTCCCGTATAAATATGGATCACTCTGTTTATGGAGTCTATAACTTGCTTCTTTCAGTCAGTAATACCATAGAGGACAACCTTCCACACTACTACACACACATCTCTGCCAATTTTAACAGTTGCTCAGTCTTCCATAATTCATGTAACCAATTCCCCACTGATGGAAATTTAGGTTGTCTTCTTTATGATGTACAAAAATACCCAGAAACATTTTTATAACCTATGACTTTGTATACCTGAATTCCAGGAGATGTCTAGGAGGAAAATTTCTAGAATACATATTTTAAGCTTTAGAGGTACTACCAAATTGTTTGGCAAAAGCTTGTACTAATTTATAGACTGGGCACAGCGGCTCACGCCTATAATCCCAGCACTTTGGGCGGCTGAGGCAGGTGGATCACTTGAGGCCAGGAGCTTGAGACCAGTCTGGCTAACATGGCAAAACCCCGTCTGTACTAAGAATACAAAAATTAGCAGGGCGTAGTGGTGCGTGCCTGTAATCCCAGCTACTAGGGAGGCTGAGGCAGGAGAATACCTTGAACTGGGGAGGTGGAGGTTGCAGTGAGCTGAGATTGCACCACTATACTCCAGTCTGGGCGACAGAGCGAGACTCTGTCTCCAGAGGAAAAAAAAAATGCTTGTATGAGTTTACTCTGTTATCAGTATATGCATGTTTTCCATCTTCACCAGACTAAATTTCTATGTTTTAATGGCTAAAAACCTGATTTTAAAAAACAGAACTCTCACTGTTTTAACTTTCACTGCTGTATTGAAATATAGCACAAAGAAAAGTATACAAATCCTAAGTGAACAGCTTGGGGAAGTTTCACTAACTGAACAAACCTGTGTAACCAGCATCCAAATCAAGAAACACAACACTGCCAGCA